TTGGCTTGGACCTAAATACAGAACCCCCGGATTAAAATTGTATAGTTTAAGCTGTTACAACAACAACAACAACCGACTGAGGTGGCACATTTTCTCCAGCTTCCAATAACATCTCATGACACCAATAATAATTAGTCTTAATGAATATTTTTAGGAGAGAACATAAAGTTACAGCCAACCTGTTACAACAACAACTGCAACCTTTCTGGAATGTTAATAAACGAAAAGTGACCCATGTATATGTTGGGTCTCTATTAACATCACATGGTCTAAAATCACTGACTAAAAATATCTTCAAAGAAGTACCAGCAACAATCCACTCTATACCTCAGTCTCTGAGTATGAAGATCCCTGTTTCATAGTAGCATCAATCGCTTTCTCTATGCACGAGATACCTAGGAGACCTTGATCTACAGCTATTATTCTTAAAGATCCCTTTAATATCTATAGAGGACACTGTAACTTCTTTTGAAACTAGTATTTTTTTTTTCCATACAAATGTTTTAGAAGGATTGTGATTGGGACAAATCACTCGAATCCTCCGTCAATATGGAATGTAATGCAAACTTTTAATAGTCTTGTAGAATCACAACTTGGATTATTTAGACTATATAGTCTATTGTTTATGGACTAGACAATATACTATTCTATAGGAAAAGCTAGTCTAGATTAGAGGTTAAAAAGGTGTTTTATCTACTATATAGAATAGTCCATAAAGCTATTTCATAGAGTAGTACCACCATAAAATCAGTTCTTGTTCAAAAATATTATAAACATTAAGACAAAATCCATCAAACGATCACTTGTTTTAAAAATTATTTGTTTTATCAAATTCTATAAACCACGTTCCATAACTAATTTGAGAGCCCATAGCCACTCACGCATTCTATATAAATTTGTTTTAAAAGTTTTAAAAACTAAAATAAACTCAGATTTTTAGCATAAACTTACTTTATCCAAATCGGTTTTATACCAATCCTCAGTTGTCGACGTACCATTTGCTTTAGATTTCAAAAATCGCCACATACCATCTAACGAACGAACTTCACGGGATTCCGATTCAAAGGGATAAAGTAAACCCTTGGTCTTAACCGGGTCATTCTTGTTATTGTTTATTTTCACCGACAAAATGCTGATACATAATGTGTACGATAATAAAAATAATTTGAACCACATTACTTAATTTAAAATCTTTTATTTATGTTTATGTTTATTATTACTTAATTTAATTGTTTATTTTATATATTTGCGCGAAATTTTTGTTAAACTTCATACCAGCTCGACTTTTGTTAAACTAAATAGGTATATGAGAAAATATTTTGTTGGTAAACTCTGTGAATCACATACCTTATCGCTCTTCTTCATCCATGTATACGTTGGAACATACAATAGTCCCACATATAGCATGGTTTTGATGATAACTAACTACCAAAACATCTGGTAATTGTTTGATAATGCATACATATGGAAACATTTCCCTTGTCGTTACCATTCTGGCCAAGAGTATATATAAAATCCTTATACTCTTTGTCAGAGTGATAACAGTTTATATCAGGGATGGCAAATGGACTTTTAAATTTTTCACCAAATTGTTATCAATATGAATCAAATCCATTTCATGTCGGTTCCATTTGTCCGCAAACTAGTCAATAGACTAATCAGAATATTAGCCCACTAGTCCATTTAGTCAAACTTGTTAGACCATAGATTAGACAATAGATCAAACTGTATAATTATACTACTCTTAGATCGGTTTATCAGTCAGGAAATAGATTAAAAATTGTACCAAATGGGTTATCATTGTATCATTGTACTTTTCAGTATCGTATTGTACCAAAAAAAGTAGAATAGTACCTATTTTGCCAACACTGATATACATATATTGGAAATGTTTCCGTTGTTAAAAGTTCTATGAATTCTACTTCTCATCTAAAATATCTATATGTATATTCTTCATGAAAAGTAGCTATATTGCTGATATTGACCTACAGATTTGTTCCTCATATCACTGAGACGGGGCTATCGGTCCAACAGTCGGTTTGAATCCTTTAGATTCTAGTCTATATAATAAAGTACCTATATTCTACGATCCCAATTCATATCTCATCTATAATTTTGTAAATTGTTGCAAAAGCTATTATCATGTTATCGGGGAGTAATCTGTTTTGCGGCATTTTTTGTTTATATTGTTGATGTTTGCACTTTATATATATAAATGTTAGAAGCTGTACCCTACAATCAATTAGCAATGTTTCCAATTATTAAATCGTTTCTAACTTTGTGTAATCAAAATTACTTAAAATAGATTTTCTCTAAGTTCTAAAATAAACTAAATATCTGAAGATTAATTTGAAATTGATATTAATCTGATATGTGCGTATTAAATTCGCCAGTTAAAAACCTTTTTAAGTGGGTTTATATAAAAAATGTTTCCAAAGACTGTAGGGTTAAATGATATTTGACTTCAACCATAAATATAAAATATTTAACTTCTTTTGTTTATTATTTTTTACGCTGCAAATTATAGGTGTATAATAAAGAGAGTACATATACATATCTGAGCATGCCGATTCAAAATATACATATATGCTTTAAATGATTCTAAGGGTGGGAGTGGGAGGTGGTTGCACATGCTACATGCATAATTATCCATCCAAGCATTTTACGTAGAATTGCATTTATTTATTTACGTGCAAAGATATGTATGTTTAAATGTCAGTCTGTAATGCATACGTAGTTAAATATTTTTATTGTAATTTTATTATAAAATTAAATAAAAAAGTAAATAATTGAGAGAGTTTTGTGCGAGTGCAACGAGTTAAAAACAGCTGTTATCGAGTGAATAATTAGAAATAAGTAATTTAACCCTTTAAGTGATTCTATTCATACTTATTATTCTAAGTTTTTATTCTCGATGTAAGTAATTCTATAGTTATGCAGAGAATTTAAAGAATTTATTCTATATTTGCATGTAACTTGCAACTATTACCAGCGAAGTCGTCAACAACACTTTTTACCACGTGAATGATGTAAACTTAACCATTGGCATAGTGGTCGATGGAGCACAAATTCCAACCGTGCACCATGAAAATTCTTTGGGGTCACATTTGACAGTCTATTTCTTCAGCTCATGCCACTGAAATCACGAACAAATTGCCAAGTAGAAACAGGGTTTTGAAAGCGCTAGCCGGCAGCATTTGGAGAATGGAAATAGAAACCTTGTTAATTAATTATAAAACGATTGAACGGTCAGTTGTTAATTGTGCTGCTCTATTGTGGTCACCTTCCCTTAGTGATACCCAGTGGAGAAACAATCAAAGCTACCAAAATACTGTTCTAAGGACTGTAACAGGCTGTTTACAAATGACCACGAAACATCACCTTTATGAGGAAACGAAACAGTTCCTCCTAGGATGTCACCAGAGGATTCATTCCAACATTAACATCACAAATTTAGATGCTACCCCGAGGCATATAAACAAGAACCTTCGAATATACCTACGTGAAGAACATACATAAGTATATTCATTAGATCAGGCCTTGTATTCAGCAGCGTTGTACGACATTCGTAGAAATACCACCAAATCCCCAGATGCAGCATACCACATGAGGTGTTATTTTGAGGACACCCACCACCCATTGCAGACACGGAAGAAAACCTGTCGCGCAGAAGTTCTAGCACAACTAAAATCAGTTTGGAGCAACAGGCTTAATGCCTACTGGTAGCGCAAAGACCATGCCATCGCTTTCCTTTGAAATTTCAAGTGGGCGAGGTGCTACGCCTACTTACTAAATAATTATTAAAAGTCGTGTATCTTGGAAACTGGTACAATCAAATTTTGCACGCACAACTTTGAAATCCATAAGAATATTTGGACAAAATGGGCGGAATGACTATAGTGGGCGTGGCACCTTCCATGTTAAGAAAATATTAAATCAGTATATCTCAGAAAATATAACAGTTATAGTCCTCAAATTTTATCGGAGTCACATAAGTCTCAATATGATTATTTAGGATAAAAAGTGGGCAGACTAGCAGTAGGGGGCGTGGCACCTCACATATTAATTAAATATAAAAATTCATTTATCTTGAAAACTATTAGAGTTAAAAGCTTCAAATTGCACGAAGAACTTTAGCATCCATGTAAATATTTTGGATATAATAAATTATAAAATAAATAAATTATATAATAAATATATTATATAAAATAAATTATAAAATAATATAAAAAAATAAATAAATAAATTGGCTGGCTTCCAATATGAATTAAATACAAAAAAATCTCTTATCTAAGAAACTAATAGAACTAGATTGCTAAAATTTTGCTCATCCATTCATATCTATCTGAACATTTTGGGAAAAAAGCGGACTTTCATCAGGGGGTGGCTTGGAACCCCCATACGAATTATATAGAAAAATTTGTATATCTGAGATACTCTACAAGCTTGAATCTTCTTTACATGAAGAACTTTGACATTCATGTGAACATTTGGAGAAAAATGTGTGGACTTTCAATGGGGGTATTGGCCCCTCCCATATGAAATAAATACAATACAATATTATTCACATTTTTCATTTAATTTTTCAGTTTACATTAAAATTCTTATTAGCGTTCGGAAAAATTGGCGAAGTTGCAATAATAATAAAATGAGAATTTCTATTAATATTCGATGAAAAGCATTTACGATTCGCCATAGTCGAATACAGCACTCTAAATTGATAATTTAACCCTTGTTGGGCTGATCGGGTTTTCATTTGTCAGGTTAACTTTCTCAAGCTTAATATAGCAAGTAAAGGTGCTCTTCATTGTCAATTATCACCGAGTGATCTTTTACCCATATAATGCAGATCTTACCACAATATAAATATTTAGTTATGGCTCTCCATACGTACAAGCTATTTAAAATTGGCTCATATATATCATATTTTTAAGAATTTCATCAACTTAATAAACAAAAAATAAAATCTACAGACAAAATTTCGAAATTTTTTTTCTAATCCAATCAATTTTTATTTCAACATTTGTTAAACTTAGTAAATCTAATAAAAAGCGCAAATATTTTTTTAAATTGTACAATTCAATATAAAAAATAGTTTATTCACTAAAATTTTTACTATTTTCTATACATATACACAAATACATACACATACATAAAAACATTATACATTTACTTACATTAATTATAAATAAATTAAAAAATACTGTCATAAAAAAATATGACATCTTAAACTGTAAAAAAAAGCATACAAAATGCAGTGGAAAGTTCAAGAGAGTTAGAGAGCAACGAAAAATGTTAATAATGACTTTGTAGAATTTATTATAAATCGGCTTCATCATGTTTACCCATACGTGAAGAGCTGACATCTGTTATGTAGGTGAAGAGATCTTCGGGGAAATTGCATTGATCCATTTCACGACCCAAGGCAAAGTAGCGTTTACGCAAGAGATGAGCAACAGCTTTTGGCTGGCGGTTGCGGGTGAAGACACCTTTTTTATTACCGCCCACACGGGTAACAGCTGGAATAGAATGTTGAGGTTAATTTTTGAAATATTTTATTAGCAGGATAAGAGAATTAAGTAAATTATATTTTTTTATATATAAATATTTACTTTGAGCTGTTTTAAAATCAGCAAAATTCCATACAAATTCACCAATAAACCATGTTTTCTTTCGTAAAGTATCGAAAGCTTTAAAGTGTTGAGAGAATAATTGAGATTGATAATCCTCGGACCAAACATAGGATGGTAACTATAAGAGACAAATACATTTTATTCAAAACTTTATAAAAAAGTAAGAGAAAACACTTACTATATGCAAACCCTCCACAGTATCCGAACCATATTCCGACATAATAACCGGTTTATTATGACGTTTATTCCATGTTGTAGCCTCATCAATAACACGTTTCGTTATCATATCCAAACGTCCAGGATTACTATACCAACCATTGTAACGATTAAAACTAATTATATCTAAATATTTGGCCTAGAAATTTTACAGTTAAATAATTAGTTTAGTTAAAATTTTTATTAAACAATTGATGTAAAATTATACTAACAGCCTTATCATCTTGTGAGGGTACAGCTATGGCAGCTGTCACCGGTCTAGTAGGATCTAATTCACGGGTATAGTTTGCCACGTATCTTTAAATTGAAGAACATAATATTAGATTGGTAAATATATTATGAGAATTTCTGAAACTTACTGAAAATATGAACCGGCATTTAATTGATTTGTACGAGGTTCATTGGCTATGGACCACATCACTACACTAGGATGATTACGATCTCTGTGTATTAATTGTTCCATGGCTGATTTGTGCTTATCTAATAATTCTTGTTTGAAATTTCTGAAAATAATTTAAAATAGATCAATCTATATTAAGAAATATTTGTAATCTTTGACCGTAATCGATAAACTCAAGATCCACTGGAACCTAATGGAAAATAATAAAGGGATCTTGAATTGTGTCACTTTGAAGTTTTCAATTATCCGATAGTTGGTGTCTTAGTTTTAAATTTTAGTGAATTACATCTAAACTTATTATTTAAGAAATCTCCAGCCAGCTGGTTTTTAATAGGATAACTCTCTATTTGTAAAGTCCTTTAGTCCAAAGTTGGTCTTAAATAGGGCCAGTTGGTTTTAAATAGGAAATCTCTCTAAAGCATATCACACATGCTTGGATCCCGATTTCAACAAACATACGGACCGATGGGTACCGTAAAATCGAGTGCGTTATCTTATAGGGTCGAGAAAGTAAAATGTAAAAATGACAAACGGAATGACAAACTTATGGCTACTCACGAGGTGAAGCTAAATCCTGGAGAAGGTAAGCCGAAATCTCAAATCTACAAAAAAAAAAGAAGGTTGTTCACACCGATATCTCTGTTAAGTCCAGTTGTAAAGACATTCGAGGCTCTAAATCAATATTCATATCCGGCCGTTTGTTGAGCTCAGAAATCAAGGAGGTATACAAACTCTCACTGATGCTTTTCAATATGTATTTATCTTGTTTAGATTTCTGAACACCCTACAGATGTCTGTTTGCTGTCGTATGCAGATGATATATCGTTTGTCAACATCGACGACATAAGTTCCAATATCACTAATATTTGGCGTCCATAATAAACTTTTTATAGGAACGCAAACTAAGTTTATCTACTTCAAAATGTCACTTTTCATCTCTTGGACCAAAGAAATAACGGCGCTTCGTCTAAGCTCGAATTATCCACACGATTCAAAACCCGAAAATCTTAGAGGTAGCATTCGACAGCCTCCTTCACCAAAAGTTTCGTAACCGAAACAAGGTTCTTAAAGCTCTAGTTGGCAACTCTTGGGGCATGGGCAAAGCGAGATTGTAACGAGGTATAAGGCAATCATCTCATTCCTCTATGATACTGAATGACGAGGTTTACAAACAGCCCAGAATAAAGCATTCCGAATCGCAACTGGATGTTTTAAGATAACGAACGAAGATCATCCACATGAGGAGAGCAGATACCTTTCGTTCAGACAACATAATGTGTTGTTGACTTGACAGTTCCTGTAGCTATCTGCGCACTAACCATAACCTCAATTAGATTCTAGACACATACGAATGGACATTTTACGCTTTCGACATCCATGATATCGTACTATCGGATATAGAGAGACTGTCAGGCGCTCGAAAAACTTTGCATGGGTCTCTGAAGCCATTAATCGCTGCAGATGCAACATAGTCCTATATAAACAACTCTGCGATCTTAAATAGTGAAAGACAACTTCCCAGCCATTCAAGAAAAATACTAGAGCAATTTAGAAACGGTTGGTGCATCTTCTTCAAACCAATTGTTCCTGGCACTTTCAACCATTATCGCGTCTGTCATCAAAGTCCTAACGACACGATGCATTGAATCTATTGTCCTATTCGGTTCACAATATTCACATGGAAAATACTAAGTATGTCGAATTCATGTTCTCTATGCCATCAGATGGCTTTAGTAAACTGTGGAATGGTAATAGGACAGATATACATCTGCACTAACTTAAAAATGTTTGATAAAGATGGTCTTGTTCAGTTAGTTATCGAGATCTATGTCCTATTCTAACAAAATGCATCTAATTTTTTTCAATAATAATAAACTTACTCTGTATCAACACTAGGACATTCGTCAATAATCATTATGCCATTTTCATCGGCAAATTGCATAGACTCCTCCGAGTAGGGATAATGAGATGTACGATATGCATTGGCGCCAATCCATTTCAGCAAATTGAAATCACGAGTCATTAAGGCTAAATCCAAACCCTTGCCACGTATCTAAAAGATAACAAAAGGTAAATCCAATATAACAAACAATTTCCAATAACTTGAAATCTCCACAACAACAACTTACATCCGAATCTTCATGTCTACCAAAACCACGGAAATAAACCGGACGATTATTAATCATAAAGGTGGTATTATTCCAACTCAAAGTTCTAACACCCACACGCAAACGATAAACATCGAGTAGAACATTGTCGGTGCCATGTAAAAATACTTCCATTTGATATAGATAACCCGGTTCGGGATGCATTAAATATGGCCACCAGGGCATAACTTTTTGTAGTTCTAAGACACCTTTCAAGTCTGAATTAGAGGTTTCATTCGCCACAATAACTCCCTCCTTATTGCGTAATTGCACACGAACATATAAATTGCTGGCGGCTTCATTAGCTGACACACCATTTGTATTCACCTTATAGTAGACAAAGCCAACTGAAATTTAAAGTTTAATTTAAAAAAAAATTTATTTATTTTATTAGTTGCAAATACCGACCTGTATTATCTTTTGTTAAGTCGGTGGTAACTTCAATCTCTTCGATAAATGTTAAGGGTGTGGTATATAAATGCACAGAACGGTGTATACCGGCATAATTGAAAAAATCAAATGAATATTGTTGTATTATGGCAACACCATCATCTCTTGATATCTCTGTAATTTTACCCTGAGGCACAGTGGTTTGTATTAAGGCATTATCACACATAACTGTTATGCGATTCTCTTCGCCATATTTTAATTTATTTGTTATTTCGGCTTCAAAAGGTAAATGACCCATTTCATGTCTCACCACCATTTCACCATTGACATACTAAAATCAAGCAATTTATTTAAATGATATTAAAGTCTAGTTTTCATCTTCCAAACTCACCACAAAAGCTTCGTAGTGAACACTACCAAATCGCAGCCAAACTCTTTGCTGATTGGACCAAGACTTTGGCACAAAGAATTTTCGATCATACCATACGGTTCCCACATGATCTCGCAACGCACTTTCGGTTGTGATATCATTGTAACTGGCAGGTACCGGCATGGGTATTGTTTCTTGTACACGACTCAAATCGTCTGTATACCATTTATCTCTGATACCCTGTGTGGGATTCGTTACATCCGATTTGACAAAATTCCAAATGCCATCTAAAGAGCGTACTTCTCGGGTTTCCGATTCGCGTGGATACAACATACCGACAGTTGGTGTGATTTCTTTATTCAATATTACCAGTGCTATGGCATAGTGTATACAAAATCCAATAACGCCCATGGCAATTAAAGACAGTGCTAGAATGGATCAAAAGAATAGGTTATTCAAGATTTGATTAATGAAGAGTAAACTTTGAGTATTTCAAATCTATAAGCATTAAGAATATTTAGAAACAAATTGTTTCAAAATCCTAAAAGAGCTTTATTTGAATTCATTTGAAAACCTTAATTTTTCAACCTATATCTATTAAGTCCAACATTGTGCCGTAGACCTATGGCGTTTTAACGAATTTTTATAAATAATGAAACAATTTTTCCAATTAATTATTTTGTTTTGTTTAATCTGAAATAGATTTGTTTTCAATATTTAATTATTTAAAAGCATCCCTGCAGGTTGAAAAGTGCCAATTACCAAACTTTTATAAGTTATATTGCTACATAGTGAACTTACTAATGGTTTCCTCTCTATAGACTTTTAAAGTTCTTAAAAATATATACGTGAAACATTTCCATAATGCCACTTCACTGACTACATGTAATGCTTACGGTAGCCAATTGATTTTATTTTCAAAAACCATTCAAAATAGGGTTGAAAAAATCGTTTAGTTCGGCAAACTGCTGGGATTTTTATCTATTTTAACTTATAGCTACGTGAGTATTCGTTTGAGCATTATAATTCCAATAATATAATTTTATCTTATCACTTATATTGATAATATGAAATTGAGTGTCATTGAACGTTTAAATTCTAAATATGGAACCTTAACTGAACAAAATTATTAGAATTTTGGTTCATGTTACAATAAATTACATTAACAGTTTCTCAAATTTTAAGAATTTCAGAGTATTGTTTTGTAAACTCTCCTCCCTATACCATTTTCTTAACTCTTAATCTATCCAATCTAACATTAATATTAAGATCTTATTTAAAGCTAAAAGAGAGGATGATGTTATTTGTTGGTAACAGTTTGGTTAATAATAAAATTCTTTTAAATAATGGATAATTCTTTAAAAATTTATTCAATTCAAAATAAATAGTAAATTATTTTTTTTAAACTAACTCTATTGTTTAGATGAATCATCGTTGAAGTGTTTCCATGTTCTACCTTTTTAATCATAATCATTTATCAAAAGTTTATAGAATAAATTTAGCATGAACATGAAATAGCTCTAAAAATCCTGATGAGACAATCATGTGACCGTTTGACCGACAACGTCGGTATCGGTATTTTAGCGGTATTGTTTTTTTCGGCTTATTTCGGTAAGGGTGTCTTAGGATTATCGGTATTTTGGCTTATTTCAGTATCAGTATTTTAGCGAACGGTATTCAGACTTATTTCGGTATCGGTATTCTAGCATTAATGATGGCTTAACGATAACGGTTGCCAACCTTGTCCAATACTCATTATGTTCTTGCGCGTTATTAATAGAAACCATGGGGCTATATTGATTTCCTTTTACAGGTTTTCGAGATTTCTTAGCCTTAAGTTTAAAATAACTCCGTTTTCGGCATATACAGCAACGCGAAATCACCTTTATTTATAAAATTTGTTATATAGTCTGAAAGTCGTATCTATTAACTTTAAATTAAGGGTTTAATCTCTGTTATATCTTATTTCTTTCTTGAAATATCATTATTTAAATTTCGAAAATATATATTTATTTTACGGCAAAGACTTCATCAAACAGATCTAAACAATTCAAAAACTATGTTAATAGGAAAAACCAAAAAATCGAAAAATCAGGGACCTTTCATACGGGAAGTTCTCTCTATTCGAGGGCTTTAGTATATTTTGTTGTCTAACTCTCTTTTACTTATGTATGTATGTGTGGGTTACGGTACATTCTCGAAGTGATTCGCGACTTTTAAAGAGTGTACAACTTCAGGTTACTCTTTCATGTCAAGATATTGCAGCGATACGGGTCTCATATCAGGACTTATTATTATATATTATTATTTTTACGTGATATATGTATTTGTCTAGAGGTTCGCTTCTTAAGGAATGAAGGGTTATACGGTTGCATATACAACTTTAAGGTCAAGTTGAATGGAAGTACGGTCGAGAAATTGAATAGTTAGTAGGTTAGGTTGACAGGATGTGATATACTACATCAGAACCTACTCCACTGTCGGGCCAATTAAGCGCTCATTTTCTTGGAAAATGTCTGTTGGCAGAAACAAAAAACCTTACATATGTATATAGTGATCTAGTAGGATATTAACGTCCGATGTTAAAACTCAGAAACTCACTCACGTCCTGCTCTTGTTAGGGTTATCCCATAGGATCTTTGTGGTTCTACCAACTGTTTCACTATTCCAAGTGGCCTTATGGGTTTTTCTAGCCCATATTTTTAATTTAGCTCTAGTTGCGTCGAAAGGTTTTGCGATCGTTAAGTTAACTACTTCGTGTTCATTTTAAAGTACATTCGGCCTTTCATTGCCAATTATTCTCGAGTGGACTGGTACCCATATGAGCTTTCTTACAGTTTAATGCGGTCTAAGATATAAGCTTATCATCGAATATCGTCCTAATTGCTTTTGGCTGTCAGTATGCTAATCTCTTTTGGAGGCATATTTGTTCTTATTCAATTTACGTATTCCGTTATTTCTTGGACTTCTTGATAGTTAGTAAGTATTTAAATAAAACAGCCGTTGTCTAGTCAAGGCGTGATATGGCCCTATACTTTCTAGCTCATGGGATCAAAAATTGAATCATTAAACAATCGAATGAGGGAGGAGAGAAGTACAGGACTGGCTGGAATATTGACGGAAGCATGCTACAGCTTTGAGAGACAATGGTGAACCTGAGAGGTGGCAGTATCTTAGAGTGCGGTCTTACGTTGACTGACGTCCATTCCAGGACTCCAGGAGCTTGAAAGTAAGAAGACTTGATGTGGATGGTCTTCTGAGACCGTCGAAAGACTTTTTGGGCAAATTTGCGTCACTCAGAAGTTATCGAAGATGATATCACCGTGATATATACGTGCTAGGGATAAGACAGCAGAGGAATTCCCTCCTTTTGCTGAGGAAAATGAGAAGCAAGAAAGCCGTTCGTTACAAAGCTTTCAGCAGATCTCGGTGGAGGAAACGCCGCCACCTGCATTAATTGTTGTTAAGAATCATTGTGAACATCATATGATCGTATGTTTCATATGACCCCCAAACAGTTATAGAAATTTACTAATTTTTTATTTTGGGTAGTAGAATCTAGTAGCACTCAATTGAAGACATTTTAATTCTATGTATTTCAGAAATTTCGAATTATATTTCAGTAATTTATAATTAAGTTTATATATAAATATCTAATTATAATTCAAATATTAAATTTAATAAGTAGAATGTATTGCATTTCAATCAAATTGTTCTCAAATATATCAATCATACTTACATTAAGATATTCATAGTTTAAAGAACATCAAGCGAAACGAAACGGAAAAGAAATATGAAACGGAACAATTGTTATTTATTTCGTTTTTTTTAATTGAATACAAAACGATGCAATAAGAATTAAACAGAAAATGGCAAAAAAAAACAACAAAAACAAAGAAAATAATATAAAAACAAAAGTAATCGGAACACATGCACATTTGTAATGTGCAAGAAGCGAATTTTATATACAAAAACAATAGAATAGAATAATCAAAACAAAAACTACACAATATTACGTCATTTTTAACGTTTCTTTAGATTTGTTATTTTATTTTCTTAATATTGTGAGAAAACGTGATTAAAATAAACATTTGCCGACATCTAGCCAGACAAACATCTTTCACAGAGTTTATATTACGTACGCAGTATTAAAGGGAGAACATCAAACGAAAAAGAATGAATATAAAAACAAAAATAACACAAACAGCTGACTTTTGAACACTTCTCTAAACGTCACACTTTTGAACAATATAAAATTTCATTTTGTTTTTAGTAAAATGTTGAAAAAAAAAAGAAAACAATTAAAAATTCTAAATATAATTAAAGCGAGTGATATCAACAAGTGAGTACAATTAGTTTTATTAGTCATAAAAAATAGGTATTGTAAAGTAAATTGTAAAAGTGATTTCATTTTGTTTAAACAAATTCCTTTTCTTTGCCATTTTATTAGTTTAATTCAAATTAATTTTATTATTATTATTTTGAATTTAGCACAAACATTTAAACAAACTACGTATTCCCATAATAATCCAACAACATGCCCAATTGACAAAAAAAATTGTTGATTTAATAATTTGTATTTATATTTTACTCTAACAACCGATTCACTGACTTCACGTCACCTCTAAAAAATGTAAACTGTTTGGCCCGACTTGACTGACTAAATATTATTTGCTCAATATACAAATAGCATTTTTTTTGGTAGGTATAACGGCGAATTCAACTCTTCATTTGTTTATCTATCGCATTATTTTGTATGAGCAACTTTATTATTTGTATTTATTTTATTTTTATCAGCTGAAAAAATATCTGATAAAAAAGCTTTCTTACAAACAGCTTTTATTTAAAGTTTGTCATCAGTGCTAGCTTTTTGTTGAAGAGAAAACTTTTTGCTTGATGAAAAAAGGAATATTTATAACTTTAATAAATAAACACAATTATAGCGATAACTACGCGTTATATGTATGTATGTATGTATGTATGTATGTAATATAAGGCAACGTTTCGAAAACATGACCTCAAATGCTCCTAAGACTAGATTTATTCCAAAAATTTTGCAATCTTTTTCACTTTACACTATGGTTCAAAAAGTGAAAACGGAAATGTACTTTATATGGGATTTATGACCAGCGAAAATTTTGCTTAATAATTTGTATACAGAAAATATTTGTGGTGAATTTTATCACGATATCAATGTGGGTTAATGAATTATTATATATACCCTTCAGTGAAGGGCCTTCACCTTCGTGAAAAGGGTATATATAACTTTGTCATTCCGTTTGCAATTTCTATAATATAATTTTCCGACTCTATAAAGTATATATACATATATATTCTGGATCCTTTTCTGAAAACTCCAAATATATTCGGGATCCAAATGCTTTCGAGAAGTTTCCTATTTAAAATCAGCAAAATTCGTCCATAAATAACGGAGATATGAGCAAAAATACAAGACAAACTCTGAAAATTTCTAAAAATTCGATATTCTTGGAAGTACAATTATTAAATATATGGATCTCGAAGATATGTAGGAACCAGAATCATTTTCTTATTTAGCAATGTCTGCACATTCATGTAAATGTTGTCGTAACATGTTGTAATTTTCAAGAAAACTTCAGCTCATTATTTCACCTAGCCACCATATAACCCTACACCTCAAATAGGGCTTTGGAGCTCATAAATATGGGAAATGTTCCAGTATGTGTATAAAAACCAGCATAACTTTGTTTTATATAAGACGGACCGCAATTGATCCTACCTCTATACAATGCTCATAAATGACTTAAAAAACGTTAATACCTGTACTGAAATTTATCAGAAACATGATACTTGAGATTTTATCGCCATTACCTTAACCCATGAAGGATTTAGACCAGTTTATAATGACGACGATGTCATAATACTTTTAAAGGGCAAGGATCCAAAAAAAATGCAGAAGGGCCAGGAAGGCCTTATATGACTGAATATGAAAACCCACCAAAAAAAAAGGAAAATTCGTGCTTATACTAAACCCCGGTTCTTAGACAGGAAGATATCAGCTGTAAAAGAGCTTAATTACACTAACATCAGACGTTGCCAATCGCAAACAGGAAACTTAAATTTAATGGGAACTGTGAGACAGATCGTAGTAAAGGTGAACATTAGAGTAACTCCTGCGTAAACCTGTTTTTACATAATACTCCTCCAGTGATATGCTCTGCATCTACACTTTCTATAAAGGGATAATGTTTAGGGACATTGAAATCCTATAGTATGCGGCCAACAAGACCATGACGTGAGGCCTTCTTAGAATGAGTGAGTCCTAGTTTAGTATATTGTTACATTTTCTTGTAGATACACAGAATTAAGGAGATAGGTTAGGTTAGGTTGATCGGAGGATGTAACTACATCAAATCCGAAGAAATACACCTAGGCCACTATCGGGCCTGTTGTGCGCTCCTTTTAATGGAAAATGTTTGTTGGTAATAATATAAAACCTTATATAGTATTCACTAAATGTATTATTGTGCGATGTTGAGGAACTAAGTCCTAAGAATTTTTCAATCAGTGTTGGTGAGGGATTTATATCCGAAATAATACACTCCCAAGATATTTGGATCTTATTTCGGCAATGGCAAAGAAAGTGCTCCAGAGTTTCACTCTTCTCTCTACATTCGTCTGAATCCTCACGTCCAATTTTGTATAGGTGAGCCCAAAAAAAAATGTAATGAACGGTTTAAGTCGAAAGCGGAGAGGACAGTGAAATTTTGGATCACTGTCTCTATCACTGCCAGGCTTTCGTAGAAATTATATCCAAATACATTGAGATCGATGTTATACCTAATATATGGTGTCCTCGGAAACACTAATTGGAAAATTGTAAGGTACTGCTTCCAGATAATTAGTTTATTAACATAATACGATAATCCCTTTAACATTTGATGTAATATATATATGTACATCTCCTTTCAATATACATATCTATCAACTAGTCCATTCCTTTGAAGTTTCTATGAATAAAAATTTAAAAACCCATCATCATTTGGGGGTTTGAATATAATGATAGGGATAAATACATCCTTTTCAGTTTTACAATTCTTGAATTAAACTTTAATTTGTCCAGATCAAGCGAGGATTTAAAAAGTTCATAAAAAAGTGGAGACATTAAAATTCTCTAATTAATAAACTTACAACTGTTTTATTAATAAAGTTTTTTATGTGGATTATTTTATTAATTAAAAAAAGCAAAATAAAAACAACTCAAACTTTAAGTAACTTTCTTAACACTGTCACTTTACTAACTGAAGTCGATGCAAGAAATGCTCAACGCTTTTAAAGTGTTTTCTTTCAAATGCTAAATACTCTAAATTATATAAAATGCAAATAAAGAACTCAACTAAGTGGAAGAAATTCATATTACTCCAGACATTCTTAAAGAAAAGCAGCCAAAAAAACAAACTTAATTAAAATGCAAAAAGTAGCAGGTTATGGGTGCGATTGACCCGTTTTCCGTCTATTGTTGTTATTGGCACGATTACACTTGTAAATGGGGAAAACATACATATTTGAATGGTTTACAATGCCAATAAACATTATTTTGTTAAGTAGCTGAAGATAGTAAAACTCTGCTGGAATTCCCGAAATAAAAAAGTTCTGTCAAGTTCTCTGGTATTAGCATAAACACTTCTTACCGTAAACTTCAAATTTATGACACGACAATTGCATTGAAAAACGCATTGTTACAACATTTATTCGAATAAATTTATTTATTTCGAATTGTACCGGAGATAAATACAATTCAAATAATAAATAGTTAATAAATAAAATAATTGATTTTATTTTTCGATTTTCACATTAATTTACTTTATAACGATAAAGAGCCGACCACTAAACTGATGTTTAAAATAATTTGAATAAATTCTTTGAGCTACAATTCTAATTATTTTGCTTTAATCTAAACTCTATGGAAATTTCTATCGCGTTTTACATGTTGCTTGTATACATCCTTTCAAATAAGTAAATGGGTAGAAATTACTTCATTAGAAGAATGCTTTTAAATTGATAATACTGTAGGGCATTGATTCAACACTTCTTTATAAACATTTTATATAGGAAATAATTCGGTATATTAGAACGCGCATTTGAAAACATAGCAACCGAGATATATTAACGCCTTCCCGATCATAACACTAGCTTTCAGGTGGACGTCCGTGCTATTACATAATGTAAATTTGTAGCATGTTTTCTGATTACCAAAAGATAAAGGGGACTTGGTAAGGTGAGAAGACACAGAACTAGACTATAGACAAGACTATAGACTAGACTATAGACAAGACTATAGACTAGACTATAGACAAGACTATAGACTAGACTATAGACTAGACTATAGACTAGACTATAGACTAGACTATAGACTAGACTATAGACTAGACTATAGACTAGACTATAGACTAGACTATAGACTAGACTATAGACTAGACTATAGACTAGACTATAGACTAGACTATAGACTAGACTATAGACTAGACTATAGACTAGACTATAGACTAGACTATAGACTAGACTATAGACTAGACTATAGACTAGACTATAGACTAGACTATAGACTAGACTATAGACTAGACTATAGACTAGACTATAGACTAGACTATAGACTAGACTATAGACTAGACTATAGACTAGACTATAGACTAGACTATAGACTAGACTATAGACTAGACTATAGACTAGACTATAGACTAGACTATAGACTAGACTATAGACTAGACTATAGACTAGACTATAGACTAGACTATAGACTAGACTATAGACTAGACTATAGACTAGACTATAGACTAGACTATAGACTAGACTATAGACTAGACTATAGACTAGACTATAGACTAGACTATAGACTAGACTATAGACTAGACTATAGACTAGACTATAGACTAGACTATAGACTAGACTATAGACTAGACTATAGACTAGACTATAGACTAGACTATAGACTAGACTATAGACTAGACTATAGACTAGACTATAGACTAGACTATAGACTAGACTATAGACTAGACTATAGACTAGACTATAGACACTATAGACTAGACTATAGACTAGACTATAGACTAGACTATAGACTAGACTATAGACTAGACTATAGACTAGACTATAGACTAGACTATAGACTAGACTATAGAGTAGACTATAGAGTAGACTATAGACTAGACTATAGACTAGACTATAGACTAGACTATAGACTAGACTAGACTATAGACTAGACTATAGACTAGACTATAGACTAGACTAGACTATAGACTAGACTATAGACTAGACTAGACTATAGACTAGACTAGACTATAGACTAGACTATAGACTAGACTATAGACTAGACTATAGACTAGACTATAGACTAGACTATAGACTAGACTATAGGCTAGACTATAGACTAGACTATAGACTA